AAGTGTCTATGAATTATATTTAAAAGAAATTTTTTTAAAATATTGATGAGAACAAAAGTTATTTAATTTGTCAGAATGTCAGATCTCTGTGGGACACCTGTATATATAGGATGATTCTCAGACTCACCATGCATGCTCACTCACTTTTTCCTTTAATAATAAATTTATGCAAGTTTTGATATTTGGAATATTTAAATATACTCAAAGACCATTTCCTAAGGTATAAAATTCTTTTATACCTATTATATTATTTAAGGGGATTTTTCCGGTGAAGATACAAATTTCTATTTTTTAAATGAGAACTCCTATTTTTTAATAGTACCTCAGTCCTTAGCTATTAAATGTTTGCACTAATAATAATTGTACCTACTTAAAAATTGTTTTACAAAAATGTAAAATAGGTGTAATATTGGATCTAATATTTATCAAACTTGTACCATTTTTATAAATTTTTTATTTTGATATTAATTATTAAAATTTTCAAAGCACTTAGTCCCTATATTTTCTAAACCCAATGTTATGGAACTTATTATCCTTAATACACAAAGTTAAATAATTCAAAAACCAATTGTTTGAATGCTGAATTAGGTACATGAAAAAGTTGAGAATAATTATCCGGTAAATAATTTATAGTCAACAAAGTGGGTTCTTATTTAAAAAAAAAAAAAAAAACAAAAATTCGTGTTTTCATAGGAAATTTCTTAAGTAGTACAAAAATCTCAAGAATTTATTATAGCCTTCAAGTATATTTAAAAWTTTTAGAAATCCGATTTTGAATCACTGCAGCATTATTGAAAAAAAAATATGGTAAGCATGCTGAATGAATCACCCTGTACATAATTATAATTGTAATTACACGTCATATAATTATTATCAAACACTGCGGACTGCAGATTATATCATTATTATGATTTATGATATATTACATTACATTATTATCGTGTCGGGGATTGTAATTTTACATCCAAGACTTGGTGTATATTATTATGTGATATAATAAAACAGGGGCGGAGTGGCCCAACAATTCTTAMCGGGCAAACAGATATTTTCAGGCCATTTTTTTCAAATTTAATTTCTTACAATTTATTGTCTTACTGCTAGATGTGTGCTTACCATTTTTTTGATTGGGTGAAGTATAAAACAATTTATTTAGCCTACATATTGCTAGAAGATATTATCAATTTATTATTATACACATTTTATATTCTTCCTAGCTTCTATTGTAAAGTAGGTAGTAGGTATCAACCATAAAAATGTTTATTCATTATAATATCAAGTATTTGAACCAAAAAACTCCTTCTAAGTAATCTTATAACTGAACACARATATTATTTTATATTAACACAAATATATCATTACTATAGAAATTTATTTTTTATACTTATATATTATAAAAACACTTAAGCTTCTTGGTTTAGGAAATTTATTAAATAATATTTTACAATAACAATTTGCTTAGTAAATTATTATTACTGCCCAACTCGTTAGTAATGACAGCGTTATCTACTTCTTAAATAAGAAAAGTAATACCATCAGCTTATTTGCATGAGCATAATATATTATGCATTGACAAAAATTTAAAAATTTACCTAAATTAAAAGTAATAACATACTACCAGAGTAGGGGGTATTTAAATACAATTTTATTTATATAATATTTTACTATAAAAATATGTTTATTCGAATATTTTTTTATTCCAAATTATACTAATTCAAATAATTAACTAGATAATATTATTTTGCCCAACTCTGCATACTACAATATGTCAATACCTACCTTTGAAATATTAATTAATTTTTTCACACTTTTTCCCAATCACAGACAAGAGCCTTTTATTTTTATTTTGTTCCCTCTCATGTCCTCCTTTTCGTTTGTTCTGGTTTTTGTAATTTTTATGAATATTGAAAATAAAAAACAAATAGAAAATTGCACATTAACTTATTAAAACTTTACGGCTTTGTTTGGATTTATTCCGTATTGATCGTATTATCGCAGATTATACAAACTACAAACATAATCTGTGGTATTTGGTATTATTAAATAAAAATGCAAACCTGTGATGTTATTTACAACCATTGTCATATAGGTACTTTGTTGTTTTGTGTCAAATACAAAATAATATACCCCGTTTGAATAACTATTTATAGATTGCCTGTTTTACTTGTCTATTATTATGATAAAACGACCGATAATAAGAAAACGAGTTATCGCAACATAGAGTATTTACTACTTATAATTGGTGGTTCACATATCACATTATTAATTTGTTTTCGTTGTTTTTACAATCATCAAAAACAGCTAAATATTTTAAATATTAATTATTTTCATCACACCAGGACCAGGCCACTTCTAATATAAGCAAGCCAGGCCACCGGGCATTGTCCCGGTTGCCCGGCGGGCCACTCCGCCCCTGTAATAAAAGCTTATAAAATGCAGATTTACCGGAATTTGCTCGACGTCATCGTATCGGTTTTCCCGTTTTTAAACCATTTTACTTCGATCGGATGGTCACCCGTCACGTTACACTGCAAAGTGGCCGTGTCTCTTTCTTTGGTAGAAACCGTTCTTGAAGTCGACGAAAACAGTGGCGAAGCTGTGCATAAACGATTTTATAGATTTTAATAGAAACACTGAAACACTGTATTACAGATATACGAATAGTTTGAGCACACTCACATTTAACGTTGACTTGGATCACTTTTCCAATCGCGTTTCCTATACCGTTGGAAGCCTGACAGAGATAGTATCCTTGTTTGTCTTCTTTGACGTTTTGCAGCAACAGCGAGTGATTGCTAAGTACTTTCGTGTGTATTTTTTCTTTTAGCTCTTCGTAGTCACCAGATTTACTCCCTATTTCGATACACGCAACAACATTAATTATTAATCGAATCGTTATCAAACGAGCCTATAATGATATCAAGTCCGCATGTACACGACATTACTGTGTAGAAACGCGAAACACAGAGGGAGAGAGAAAAAACACCGTTGTTTTAAACACATTACTGGTATAGTTGCGAGTTGCAACTTGCAAGTAAAGTATAGTATATTGGTTTTTATTTCTAATGGAGTTTAAGTCTTGTAAAAATCGAGATGAAAAACGTAGTATCATTTTTAAATTATTGTTACAAGGTTGTTTAATATTGTTTTAAGTCTTTGCAATAAATGTGTTTTAAAAAAAAATTATTTGAAATATTGTGWTTAAATATAATTTGTAATTTCCGTAGTATATTATTAACTTTTATTAATTTTAATTATTTTATTATTAACATCAAATTAAACGAGATAAATTTAAATAAATAATGAAAATCATCAAGTCAATTTTCTGTTATAAAAATATGTATGTTCACTCATATTCACGGAAAAATAAAACGTCAAAATAATATGACAGCTGCAGTGTAGAGGAATGACAGATCTATAGAGACGCTCTGAAAACTACCACGTTGTATTATTCTTCAGAATAATACGAGAGGTCATTTTTTGGAAAACCTGTCAAAGTTTATGTATTCTTATGATCATTCTGAATTCTGTGAAACGCGTTTCTATGTTCTAGATATTTCATAACAATAGGGTTCATCTAATTTTCAAACGTGCAAGTTCTTTTAAGAAGTCATCAAACCATTATGAACAATTTTTCAGTCTACTGCTTAAATGTAATTGGCTCCTAAACTGGAAATATTTTTGAACATTCTTCCCTCCAAATATTCGCTCTACTGATTTTAGAAATTTTATCGAATAGTGTTCATCATTTATTTTTGTCACACTTTTATTAGTGACCAGCCTTTAGAAAAAAGTTCTATACAGATGTAATAAATAAATATATATATATATATATATAATACACGAAATTTGTAATAAATAAAAACAAATAACCATCGAAAATTCTAAAAATATACGTTTACCGACAACATTCAAGATTCGTTGAATTTTGTGTTGTCTTAAAATATAATATTCTTCAACTGCTGATTAGGTATTGAGTCATAATTAATAGAGTGCCATAGAACATTACTTATAATTATAAATGTAGAMATTTTTAATGTGTATTCAACTCTCAAAATTGTAGACATATAGTGAACAAAGGATATTGGAACTTGGAAGTATGGTTTTAAATTACCATTAAAAGCTTTCATTTCATTTATTCTTTCTCTTTGTTCCATTTTATTAAGGTCAACTACAAAACGTTTTTTTTTCAACCCCTTTTTATTAGTAACTCTTTTTCATATATTTTCTTTGGAACTTCTTGGTAATTTATGCGTATAATAATAATAATACAAATAATACAATATATAAATCATTTCACCACAAACGCTAAATAATTCAAATTAAAATAACATAAAGCAACGAGAAATATTCACAAAGACACCTAGTATATAAGCTAAAAAGGTATCAATAATATCGGATAATATTAATTTTATCAGGTATACCAAAAAATAAAGTGTGATTCATTTAAATATTTAATGTATTGATTATGTTCAGTCACCAAGCGTTGTTTATTTAATTTTTTCTCGAAATATAATTTGTCCTGAAAAATGCCTATTTTTAAACTAAAGTTAAATAATAATATGACGTATTGAATACCTGAAAGTAAAATAAAAATATTGTAATTTATTAAGATACGAAAAATTGTTTATGAATATTATTATCATAACACGATTTATTCAATCGAATGGAATGTATTTTTTTACATTTGGATCAATCTCGAGATGAAGTATAAATATTCGTTTCTTTACTTTTAGAGCCTAAAATAAACATTTAACTATTGAATTTGTGTTTATTTGATCAATAGGAAAAAAAATATTTTATGTGGTTATGTTCTAGATATACGTGGTTTCACCCAAATCACATGGTTCAAACAGTAGGAAAGATTAAGTTTAGCAGACGAAAATAAAGACAAAGAAAAGGTACGGAAGCGGACTTTCCGACTAATAATAAAATATATAATGATATTTGTTATAGGTTATGAATGTTATGATATTTAACGTATTGTGTTAAAAACACTGACCGGTAGCTTTTTTCCAGACGACTGTGGGCTTGGGTACGCCATCGGCTTGACAATCGATGATTAACTGTCGGTTCCTTTCGATGTCCACGTCCGTCGGTTCGATGGTCCACTTTGGCGGCACTGTTTGGTGGTGGAAAGAGGGGGGGAGAACAAAAACAGACCAAAATGAATTATCGAAATCGATTTCGACACTGCTCTACGTACAATACTTGAAATACCAATCATTGCAGACAGTTTTAACCGACCGTCTTTATTTGATAATTATGACACGTCGTTAATCGACAGTGGTACACGAAATTTTTACACCGTAATAATTACTGTACACTGCAATCGCGGTGTAGGTAAATACAATAAACGATTTTAGTTTCAGTACATGCCACGACGGCTTCCCAACAAAACATATTATTTTCAAGCACYCAAGTGGCGTGTAAAATATGTATTGTAGGTATATATAATATATGTAATTAATATTTGATACTGTCAATAAACGATGGCGGCGCCGCGGAAACAATGCGAAAGCAGACCCGCGGCGTCGTCGGTTAAAACGGAAAAAAAAAAAAGGTATATATAATATTGTAATATAATAATATATTTATTATGTATATTATATATCAATATATCTTATATCGGGTGATAAACTGATATATTATTATTTAAGTGGAAATTAAACGATCTCGATTAAATGTTTCAAATTTTGATCAGGGTCTGGAGATACTTCGGTGGGTTCTTTGAAAATATAAAACAGATATGAAATTATCAGTGTTTGAAAAATGATATAACTCGCCCGTGTGGAAATAAAGACCATGTAACGCTTCTTAGAAAAAAATATTTTTATGATATTGTATTTCAACATAATATTATATCTTTATAAAATGTTGTTTAATTTTGCTATTTGCTTTAATTTTATTAAATTTTTATTAAACGGCTGTTT